AAAAAAAAAAAAAAAAAAAAAAAAAAAAAAAAAAAAAAAAAAAAAAAAAAAAAAATGAACTTATAAGCTTATTACTTAATCTAAAATTCACATATTATATGAACGAAAAATTTCAAAATTAAACGACTAAACTTGTAATTTAATTCAAGAAAGAAATTCAACAAATTACCATGTATAATTAATTGAAAAATAATAATAATTGACATCATAAAACATCAGAAAACTAGGTCAAAATTTACTAACACGAAGGAGAATTAAAAAAAAAAAAACATTGATTTTTATAACATTTAAAGGTCACGCACAACACGACATGTTCTTCTTTTATAAGTATATAGGTATAACGAGAGACGAGTAAAAAAAAACAAAAAATAAATAAACCAGCAACTCAAACCATTCAAACTAAAATACCGCTTATTCAAAGGGATCATTTTGCAAATTTCATCCCTTTGCAACTTAGTCCTTCTACTTTAAATTTTATTTATTTAGTCCTTAAGCTTTCAAAGGCGTATAAAAGACATATTCAATATTTTTTAAATAAAAAATATAAAGAATTTTTAATTTTAATTTTCTATAAACTAATTAAATTGTATTTATAATTTAATTGGAGAACACGGAAAAAGAGAAAATTAAATTAAATTAAATTAAATTAAATTAAAATAAAAGTAAAAGGCAAGAGTTCACCAACCACAACCAATTAAACTCTGGTTTCAAATACCAATTCAAACTGTTTTTGTAACCATAATGCCCATTTCACACATAAAATAATAATAATAAATAATATTAATATAAATAGTAATTTGAGTAATTAAAAAGCTTTTTTAAGTCAAAATGACAACTAAGAATGAGATTGTACTAATTAATTTCGCCTTCATTGCTATATAACAAACTTTAATATATGAGATTTTCTTTTGTGACAACTCATTTTAACATTCACCTATCACAATTCTTCGTTTAATTCACAAAACGATTAACAATTACAATTCATCCCGGCTTTCAATTTTTCAAACCCGTTTTCTTATTATCAGCTTAAATTATTCAAATTTTGATTTTAAAAGTTGTTTAAGAATCATCGTTCTAATAAAAATCTCATCTTTACTGGGGCAACCATGTTTAAGCTGGGATGTTCTAATATGTATTTCGTTTATAGATCGACTCCAAATTTCAAGTTGGTGACTTGAATTACCTGAATATAGCTCACAACGTAGCACACCAACTTTTCGAGTTGGGTGGGGTCGTCGGATTGCTTTTTTAAAAAAAAAATCATATTTATCCACTGTACATATCACATTAATAACTTAAATACAAACATTTGTAAGGCACAATGCATCACTAATATCTATTACAAACCTCAACTTTTATTAATCTTCACAATAATCTTAAAAGTAAGGTCGAGTTGGACATGTGAACCCTAATTTTCAAGTTGGTTGAGTTGACCCGACTAAAAAAAAACTCTAACCCACAAACTGAATCAATTTTTTTTTCAATTTTTTTAAAAATTCAACCTTTACCGTTTGAATAATATAATCCTAGTAGTTTAGGTTATCAAATTACAAAACCACCCTGAATTTTAAAAATCAACCTTGAGGAGTAGTCCGAAAGAAAAAGCCCAAACAGAATAATGTCTACTAGCGATGAGCTTGAACAATTCTAAAATCAGTTCAACACTGCCCATGCAACGAATCCGCGTTTCAAAACGAGAGTAGGTTTGAAAAAATATGACTGTGTTTGAAGAATATTTTAAACCTATCATCAAATATAAAACTAACAAGTGTTGTAAAGGGATTGAGAAAATAGCATCTCAAAAACCATTACAAAATGGATGAAAAGAAGAGAGAGAGGAGAGAAAGTTAAAGATAAGATCAGTCAGCAAGTGAACAAAACAAAACAAACAACTTCAACAAAGCTTGCCTGGTTTTCCTATTTCAGTTACTAAATACCCAAAGAGCTGTCACCTCCCCCACATATGGTCATTTTCTTCTACACCTTTTTTCTTTTCATTTTGATTTTTTGTTCGTAAAAATAAACAAATAACATCAACCGAGCTATGTTCATATTGGAAAATCACAAGAGTTCCCTTACGGACGGTTTGAATAATATTTACGATGTTGGGTGGAGGGACGGGTACGTTGAATAATGAGGATTAAAGGAGAATGGTGCATGATGAAGAAGTTACACAAACAAACAAAAGAAAACAAAGGGTGTTTAAGAAGGTGTCCCACAGTGACAAAAGCAGGCTTAAATTAAGGGGCTTAAAGTCTTTACCATTGCATGCAAGACCCTTTTAGAAAGGGGACAAATTTAGGGTCTCATTTGCAGAAGTGTTTGATAGGAGCAGTCAAACCCGCTCCTTCCTCCTCCGGTTCTTCTTCTACCAACACGACACACCATGCATACATAAATTTAATTATTTATTTTACCAAAAGAAAACAAAATCCTCGCCAACTTTACCTCAAATTTTGACAATTGTACAAAATTTTTGTGACAAAATAGTCGTTTGGGTGAGGAATTTGTGAAAAGATGTGTCCACCAGATATGTAATAATGGGACTTCAGAAAACTGGCACAATGGAATGAATGAACGTTTGTTTATTTATTTATTTATTTATTTATTTGTTTTTTTGTTTGTTTGTTGTGGGATTTTTTATTGTGTAATTTTATATAATTCAAAATTTTAATGGAAAATTAATGGGTTTTTTTCTCTCCTTTTTTAAATAAACAAACCAGCTTTTATAGAATTTTTTTAAAAAAATATTATTATTATTATTATCTGGAAATTGGATGGAGGTGGCGCGTGAGTTTGTTTATTCGTCGTTGGCCAGAAAATGGGGGAGGCTGGCTGGACGAGAAAAGCGTGGGGAAAGCTTTTGGCGGCTATGTAAGTTAAGCGAGGGGAATAATAAAACGAGAAAGGGCTGAGAGGGCACGACTTTTCTTGTTTTTTTTTTATTCCTTAAATATTTATTATTTTGTATAAACTTGTTCTTATATATATATATATATATATATAAGTATATATTTTCAAATATCTTAATATTATTTATTTATAATCTTGTATTTGCAACTGTATGTATACATAAAAATAAAATAAAAAATTTAATGTATGTGTACAATGAGTAAGACAAATAAAAAAAATAAAAACTTGAGTACATGTTACAAGAATTGTGAATGATTTTCATAATGAAAGGATAAATTAATAATTTTATCAATTTAAACCCGAAACTTCTGTTGGTTTATCGATTGAAAAAAACGTAGGATTCACACGTGTGCAAACTTATGATTATATAAGTATTAGAGTCCGATCGACTGTGTATCCGAAATACTCTTAACTGGGAGTTTAGAATACATATAAGGATTGGGTAATAAATCTACAAACAAACACTCAGCCTTGCGTATGGTGAATCATTTAAGAAGAAATGAAGGGAATTTGATGCTTAAACTGAATTACAACATACATGTATGGGAATATGCATTAACCAAAATATATGTGCTATGCTCTATTGGAAGATCTTGTTGTACTGACTAGTGAGAGAATCTTTGAGATTCGAATACAGATTGAAGAGCGAGTACTGGCAAAGTTTTGAGACTTCATACCAAGAGTTGAAAACCAAAAGGTGCTTATCGGTGCCCGAGAATGCTAGTTGTATAGCAAGACTGCAATCGACAGGACCACCACGATATTTGCAGTTGCTTGTTCTGATTGCACAATCCTGATTGTTGATGCATACAAAGGTATTGTTGTTTGAGCATTGAGCACAACCGTCCCTTTTCCAGAACAAGTTTTGCAGCCTGCCCTTCTCGAACTCGAGCACCTGTACACGAGAACATTTGATGGAATTGATGCCAAAGTGAAAACAATCATAAAGAGCACAATGGATTGTCCAAACGCTTCTCTAGGATTAGAAGTCAACATGCTCTGATAATGTACTAACCCAAAACCCACCGCTAACAAATATTGATTTATTTGGGCTTCTCCTCAAAGTTTTTAAAACACGTTTACTAGGGAGAGTTTTTCACACCCTAATAAAGAATGTTTCGTTCTCCTCCCCAACCGATGTGTAATCTCACCGAAAATCTACCCACTATCCTCAACAATGAATTTCTCTAGTCTAATTGTCTCCCCTTCTCATTACAAGAAATTATTGGAGGAAGTTGTTGTAATGTGGCAAATAATTTTGCAACCGTTGCATATATGAGTTGAAAATACAAAAGTATTTTGAATGTTTATAGAACGATTATTAGTTACATGAACCCCCCTATCATAGGCAACACTAGGACACCACGAACCTTGGCCAACAAGGCTGCATCTTGGGATGTCATATTCTTAAAAACAACATATCAGAAAGGCAGTGTTCTATTATATCCATGTCTTGTGTCTTTAGTTTACTTTCTACTTCCTATGCCATGAACTTACCAGAGTAAAGCTGGTCACGGCATGTTGTTCATCAGCGACAAAAATAGGAGGGGACCTTGCAGCATATTTCCGTCCAGCAAATGCAACCATATAGCTATTGGAAGACTGGTAATGGATGAAATGAACAAGGAATAGTGAGTCCACCACTGGTAAGAACAGAACACTAGCATTTGTAGTAAATAAGCTAGTAGAAAAGATTTTAGATCTATGTGAGCAATAGAAATCAAACAAGCCCATACAATTAATCTCTTCCTTCTATGGAAACAAAGCAGCCCAAGCATTAGGAAGGCATCATCTTAAGGCGGAAGAGGGAGGGCGACTATCTACTCTCTCAAACACGAACTGAGAGTAGAACGTCTTAATACCATCTTCAGTGAAATTCCTTATTTTTCCAACTAAACATCAACATTGGAGTTTCTTGTCAACATTGAGTCAATGCCAACCAATAGCTATTGATTATAATATTCTCAAAGAAACAATTCATATACCAAACAAATCCCAAATCAAATCGAGCTTGAATCATACAATTAAAGCACGTGAAGTGATTCCAAAATGATCTGTTCTGTTTGCCCCCCTGTTTCGTGCTTAGGAGTAGGGTTTAAAAACCAAACCCATGTTTTATTTGAGAGTCATACAAGACCTATTACCTCAATTTCACAAAACCTAATGACCATCCGATTCGACAAACTCACGCACAAAAATCTAATACTAGCGCTCGTATCAACTTCAAACGAAGATCAAACAGAACCAACCGATAAATTCGACATCAAAAGAGGAAAAAGAACAAAGAATTCGAAGAACTAACCGGGTTGAAATTGGACACGGAGGGAGTAGTACTGACGGTGAGGAGGGAGATCTCATCAACCATAGGTCTAAACACAGAGATCAGAGAATTTCCATTCGTAAGAGCAAGCCTACTGTCACAAGGAGACAAATTCAACGTTTTGTTAAAGACGAACTTCTGCTGCGTCGCAAAAGCAAGCCCTAAGGTGAAACCGTCGGACTTCTCAACAGTCGTGTCGGCGCAAGGAGAGAAAACTCGGTTGCTGTCCCTAGCTTCAACGGCCGCCGCCGTCATTAGGAGAAGCAGCACGGCAGATGCCGTTGAGAGATCGTAAATCGCCATGTTTGGACTGGAAATTGAAAGTGGAAACTTCTGCCGAAGAAACCCGGGAACCGAAGTTGTCAACGAAGATCGAAAAGAGTCAAACTTCATGGACAAGCTGACAAAGATTCCCAAAACTTTAATTGGGCCGATTTAGGAAATGGGCCGAGCCCATTAACGATCGAAAGAGAAACTTTTCATAAATGCCCTTCTACATTATTTTAATTGGGCCGTTTTAGGAAATGGGCCTAGCCCATTAACGATCGAAAGAGAACCTTTTCGTAAATGCCCTTCTACACTATTTTAATTGGGCCGTTTTAGGTAATGGGCCGAGCCCATTAACGAGGACGAGGGCATTTTATGTTGACAACGCTCTACTGGGCTTTTCCAAATGGAATTAAAGTCAAACATGAAGGTGGTGAGGGAAACGAAAAATTCCTTCTAAAACCTTTTCAACAACGAGTATGCGTCTCTCGTGCCAATCCCTAAGGATTCCAAACGAAGTAGAACAAAGTAAATTCACAGATCAAGGGATAAAGAAAATGGATAGTCTTCATAGCTGCAAGATCCTAGGTCAACGGTTTGCTTGGTTCTTCTCTTCTTGCATTATTTTTTTATAAAATTTCTGTGTATCCCATCTGCTAAACCCCGACGAAGAAGGGATTCTTCCCGCTCTCCAATGGTGTTCGTTTCATTCAGTTTCTCCCACTCTACTCCACCGAAACCCCCATTTTTCACGCGACCCCAGAGCTTTATTATTAGAAATTCTCAAGTTTTTCCTCAAATTTGTTATTACAGAGTTCGAATTCCATGGAACCCTCTCCTCTTCTGATGAAGCTGATTTTTTCATTTCTTCTTTGGCTGAGCTTTGTTCCACACTTCTTCGTCACTCGAGTTCATCTCTGCGGTTTGTGCTTTTCTAATTTCAATGCTTTTACTCCATTTCTGAGATTTTTTTTCTTTCCATTCTGAATCTTGGTTTTGTGGGTTAGATTAAATAGCTTGTGGCTCTGTTTTTTTGCTTATATTTCACTGTCAATCCACTTATAGTTGAGTAATATTTAATGATTGAAAGTCAATGTCAATGTACTGTTGAATATGTTTGTTTGTTTGTTTTTTTCCTCCAGGGTTTCAATCTCTTATTTTAAACATCATTTCGTTTCATCATTTCATTTTTCTATTCGTAGTTGCATTTCTGGTACTGTTAAAGGCACTGTTATTAACCCATCATTATTATAGAGCTTCATTTTGCAACACTTCTAACACCCTTCCATCTTTCACATCTCAACGACAATGATGTGCTTGAAGGTGAACAGTGTTGAATTTGACGGTGTTACGTATGTAACAGCCCAAGCTTACCGCTAATAAATATGGTCATTTTTTGACTTTACCTTTTAGGCTTCTCCTCGAGGTTTTTAAAATGCATCTGCTAGGGGAGGTTTTCACACTCTTATAAAAAATGTTTCGTTCTCCTCCTCAACCGACGTGAGATCTCACAATCCATCCATATTGTGAGATCCTACATTTGTTGGAAAGGGTAACGAAATGTTTTAAAAAATTTTAAAAACCTCAAGGGAAACTTGGGAAACTTGAAAGGAAAGCCCACCCAAGACAATATTATTTGATGTTATGTCAGATAATTAGATGGTAAATGAGAACTAAATAGCCTATGGAAGTTTACCTTTTTTTAATAGACCAGCTCAGCAAGGTTTTAAATGTCGACGTTGGCCTGAATGTTGAGACCTGAATTTAATAGAAATGTAGATAAAATGATGAACATATCATGAAAATTCATAAATAGCACTTGCATGGGCGTAAATTCGAATGTCTAACATCTTGATGACCGAGCTAGCTCTAGTTCATTAAGATTTAACCAATCACCACGGGGTCTATGGAAGTTTGCATTTTATTCTCTAACTTCGACTGAACTTTGCTCTGATGGAATGGAATTTTGTATTGATAATTGATTTTTGTTCTGCAACTGATGCAGATGAGACAGCTAAGTATGATATCATGGTGAAAGGAGTAGAAATATCTCCCAGCCCCATAGTTAGGGGTCACCCAACAAATATGACCTTAAATCTAATCATAGGTACATAATACCCCACTTAACCCTTTTCATCATCTTTATAGTTTTCTAAACATTCCATTTTTTTGACAAGTAGAAGCTGAAACTTAACTATGAATATCTCTTTTTAGGATTTGATGCAAATTTGCACATGTTTATATTAAACTTTTATTTAGCTGTTACTAGTTGCTCCATTGGTAAATTTAGTGGGCGCTTAACGTCAATAAAACAGGCACTGAACTGTTTTTCCTAGTAACAGGGCTGACATCTGCTACCTACTACCTTCCTTTCTTCTATGAATAATAATGAGTTCATGGGTTAGATTAACCTTTAGATTTGTCATCTTTTTTATGGATAAGCCAGATTAGAGGATACTTCTCTATCGCTTCTGTTTTACTTCTAACTAGCACCAACTGCCCTGTCTTTATTTGACCCTTGAGAGAGAAGGTATACCCCTTCCCCCTCGTGTAATTCTTGTTAGGTGTGAGATCCCACGTCTATTGGGGAGGAGAACGAAACATTCTTTATAAGGGTGTGGAAACCTCTCCCTAGCATACGCGTTTTAAAAACCTTGAGGGAAAGCCCAAAGAGGACAATATCTACTAGCGGTGGGCTTGGGCAGTTACATTAGGCATATGTCATCCTTTGAACCTTAGCTCGAACTTTGGCTAATGACAGCAATCTTGTACACGTGGCACAGGTAAGCCAATCATTGCAGGAAAAATGGTAGTTGATATTTTATATTTCGGATGGCACGTATATAGTGACAGCTATGACATTTGTGTTGAGACGTCCTGCCCTTATACGTCTGGTGATTTTGCACTTGCCCCATTTCAAACGCCTCTGGCATTCTTTGTACCTGTAAGTTACTCAATTCATGTTTACCACTTGTGTTTATCTTTTTCTTGTAGTTTCTGGTTTTTTTTTTTTTCTCTTAATAAGTTAAAGGAACAAGGTTTTATCCTGGCTCAATTGATCTACAAAGTCTGTTCTTTTTATCTTGAAAGGATTAAAAGCATCGCTCTACCTTATGGAAGGGTTTTCTTGGTTTCATTTGTTCTCTTAATATTAAGTATTCCACTAGAACCTAATGGGAGTTCAAGTTAGCACAAATCTAATTATTGAAACTAGAACCTTATCTAAAGAGCTTCATGGTGACCTTATGTGAGATCCTACGTGGGTTAGAGAGGGAAACGAAACATTCCTTATAAGGGTGTAGAAACCTCTCTCTAGCATACGCGTTTTAAAAACTTTGAGGGGAAGCTCGGAAGGGAAAGTTCAAAGAGGACAATATCTACTAGCAGTGGACTTGAACTGTTACAAATGGTATCAAAGCCAAGTTCCGAGCAGTGTGTTAGTGAGGACGCTGAGTCTCCAAGGGGGTGGATTATGAGATCCCACATTAGTTGGAGATGGGAACGAAGCATTCCTTATAAGGGTGTGGAAACCTCTCCTTAGCAGATGCATTTTAAAACCTTGAGGGGAAGCCTGAAAGGGAAAGCCCAAAGAGGACAATATCTACTAGCGTGGGCTTGGGTTGTTACACCTTATTATCTAAAGTAACTAGGTTTTTTGGGATGAAAAACATATACACACACAATCATTGAATTCTTTTTCCTTTAACTATTATGCATTCTAACTATTTCCTTCTCCTTGCAGGGTTCATATCATATGCAGATAACCATTATTGATGGACATGATAATAAACTAACATGTTTTGGCTTTGATTATGAATTGGTGATTGCATCACTATTCGGACATAGCTAAGAGCTTTTATTTATTGATTACTCAGCTATTGATGTTTGTACATATAAACCCTTGTAAAGCTCTGTCATCTTTAGATCCTTGTTCGTTCCTTGGGCAGACAACTTTTGCACTATGACCATTTGAACAACTTATTCAGGAGAATTGAGTTGTGAAAATTGCCAAAAAAAAACTCGGGTTATTAGAGAGTACCATACTACTTATCGTCATTCTCACGTGGATTACTTTGTTTTTCGTAGATACAAAATGGAAAGAGTAACAATTAAGTTCTAAAATAAGTTGTACTATCTGAGCAAAGGTTCAAGTTTTTTCTTTATGCTTGCTTTAATATGATCATCATTGATGTATACATGTTTCTTCAAATAGTATATTTGAATCATTGTACTTCATATTGATGCATTATTTATATTTTTCTTGGGCTGAAGATTGTAAGACTCTTGTTAGATCAGGAACCACGAAAGTACGGTAAAGAATACATCTCCATTGGTATGAGGTCTAAACCAAAAGCAAAACTACGAGAACTTATGCTCAAAGTGGACAATATCATACCATTGTGGAGAGTCGTGATTCCTAACAGAAAGTACTGTAGAATAGATGTAGCTAGTTCGGTAATCCACCAAAGTTTATGAACAGCATAAGCATGCATTGTCCCTCGACAAACCACGAAGCTTGTCGAAAATGGCCACGAAGGTTCCTTTCTCATATACCAAATCATGATGGGGTGGGTGGTTTAGCCTCTGCCATTGACCCTCTTCACTTTGCTGCTTTTCTCATGAGCATACACCAAATAGGTGGGGTCAGGGTCTTTCTTCTTCTTCATCATGCATCTTTTTCTTTTTTCTTATTTCATTATTGTGTCATAACATGATTGATGAACCATTGTTGGTGATGGGTCAGAATATGAGTTACAAATAGTTGCCTCACTAAACAATGGCATCCCAAGCCCCACTCTGCTAAAGTCATTAATTTATGCACCTCTCTGAAAGCAAACTAACAAACACCTTTTTTTTGCCTTTCTTTCAGCCTCCACTTTCTAGCTATATTGGAATCCAGAACTGAAATTTGAACTGCTATTTAGTGATGTGATGACAAGAAGAAACAGATGAAGGAAGGATATGAAGGGAAGGCTGCTGAAGAAAATGAAACTCTACCCTTCCATTAGCTCTTTAAAACAACGCATTTCTCTTCTATCAGACCCCACTGAGAAAACTTGTAGCCATTTATGTGAAACCCCACCAGTTTTTCAAGAACAAATTTCCAAGAACAGCAGCAGCAACTTCAGGGTGTCCCTGCCAGTAGTAGAATGTAGCACCATATCCCAACACGTTAAAGATTTGAAAGACGCAGAATCTGAACTCGAGATTAGCTTTAGCGACCGAAACCATCCCGGTCCGTTCATAAAATCTGAGGAAATCTTGGCTGCCAAGAAAAATTCGGAGGCTCCATGTCTATCAGGAAGAATCACCATGGAACCAAGGGGTTGGTTCCAAGTGAAGGTAGACAGTCATGAAGAACGCTCATCTTTACTAGACTTTGAAGAGAGATGTCCACCAGGAGGAAGCGAATCCGTTATATTTTACTCGACGAGCTTGAGAGGTATTAGGAAAACATTCGATAAATGTAACGGTATTCGGTTCCTGCTCGAAAGTTTCAAAGTGTTGTTTATGGAGAGAGATGTGTCGATGCACTTGGAATTCAGGGAGGAGCTGTGGGATGTCTTGGGGGCTAAGGTGATCCCTCCACAGCTTTTTATTAAGGGAAGGTACATTGGAGGAGCAGAGCAAGTGGTAGGCCTGCATGAGCAAGGCAAGCTAAGGAAACTGCTGGATGGCATACCATTAGACTTGGCTAATTCTCCATGCTCTTGCTGTGCAAACACCAGGTTTCTGGTGTGCCCAAGCTGCAATGGTAGCCGTAAGGTTCTTAAAGACAACCACGACCACGACCACGACAACAGCTTGTATATTAGATGTCCTGATTGCAATGAAAATGGGTTAGCCAAATGCCCCATTTGCTGCTGAAATCACTATAATCTTCTTGGAATTTTCTGTTCATTGTTTAAAACTCGATGGGCGTGCTATGTTCGTTTCTCGACTGCCATTGTAGCTTTAATTATCTATTTTCGTAGCAGATGAATCAGTTGTTGGTGATGAATTTAGTTATGTATGTCTGAATGGAGAATTTGGAATATGATCACAGAAATAATTGTATTGTTGAATGAAAATGATTGAGAATGATAGGAAGAGGAGGACTAGCACATGGCTGCTTTGGAAAAAGGCTAGAAAAAGTGATCGAGTCAATATCAATATCAAAAAGGGGCAAACACAGCCCTATTTCATTGTTTTTCTTTTAAATTCTTCTTTCCTTTTACCTTCCTCCCTATAATTTGGCAACAATAAGTATCAAACTTGCATGTCAAATAGCCTCTCTTTGATGAACAAAAAACTTGTTTTCTTTTACTCTAAATGGTAATATTACAAAATTAACATCTTTAATTCATGATATTTCAGGTATCTGATCTCATCAAATCAGTACGAGAAATTTGTTTGGGCACTCGAGTTCAAGCACGACTTTTCCGAAGATAAATAACAGTAGGGACCACTGTTGAGCTTTATTGAAAGTACATAGAATGAAATTTAGATATAATGAAGGAAGGGTGTGCAATTAAACTAAAATCATGGCATAATTAAACTAAAATCATGGCATATTTAGTGGTATAATTAAGATTTTAAAGCCAAAAAGTTTCCCTTTGATTGAAACTAATAAACTGATTTCCCTCAAGTTTTAATCAAACAAAAGTTATTTTCTTTTTGACCTCTAATTATTATATGCTTTACTTTATCCATTCATATTTTTTTTCCTTCAATTATTTTATTATTTTATTAAAATATTAAACATATTCCTTTTGTTTTGCTTATTGTCCTCATAGCCTCCCCACCACCCTTCTCATAGGATACCTCAAATCATAATGGAACAAAAGCAAATAATTCTCATAAACTTATTAACCACAACATCAACACCATAAACATCCCATCCCATCTTCATACCTACAAAATTGAAATCCAGATTTCGAGTTTTTTCGGAAGAGATTTTCACACCCTTATAAATAATGTTTCGTTCTTCTTTCCATCAACGTCTTTGCTGACATACCATTTGTGTCTACCCCCTTTAGAGCTTAGCCTCCTCGCTAGCACATTACTCGGTGTCTGGCTCTGATACCACAGCCTAAGTCCACCACTAGCAGATATTGTCCTTCTTGGGCTTTCCCGTTCGAGCTTCCCTTTAAAGTTTTTAAAACTCGCCTACTAGAGAGAAGTCTTCACACCCTTATAAATAATATTTCATTCTCCTCCCCACTAGCGTTCTTACTAATACACTGTCTTGTGTCCACCTCCATCAAGGCTCAACCTCCTCACTGACACATTGTCCATGTCCTATTATTTGTAATCGTCTAAGCCCACCGCTAGTAGATATCATCATCTTTGGACTTTCCCTTTCGGACTTCCCCTCAGTTTTTAAAACGCATATGCTAGAGAGAGGCTTCCACACCCTTATAAACAATGTTTCGTTCTCTTCTCCAACTGACGTGAGATCTCACACACTCATTTATACCGAAAGGCTGTTCATCAGACAAATGAAAGGGAGATTAGACACCAAAAGGCAAGCAAAAAACACAGGCAGTTGCTCTTTACATTGCTGCTGCTGCATACTAACTACTACTACACTGCATTTTCATCCCCTCTCTTCTCTATAAATTCCTCTTTGTTAACCTCTCAGTCATTTCAAAAACAAAAACTAGTTAGACTAACCAAGCATCCTAAAATTTACATTATGTAGCAGCAATGTCTGCTAGCGTCGAATCTGGGCTTCGTGTTATGCCTTTGAGATCGTCCGAAGGTTGCAAAATCTGGGTGTAGTGCAGCTCGATCTGGAGTCGATGGTGAAGCGGGGTTGATGCCATTAGACCCTTCTTGATATCGGCTTGCAGTTCCCGAATCGGGATAGCAGCCAAGAAGCTCTTGATGTATTCTTTACACGATTGTTTCCCACGACATAAGACTTTGTCTTTCTCATTCATTGGTTCTTCTGAAGTTACGTTCGCCAATACACTCGCCTGTTGATCTTCGTCTTCGACTATTTCTGCAACAATCTGCTGATCATTGGACGTTTTTTCGCCTGATGATTGGCTAGTGTCAGGCATTTTACAGATCGTAGTGTTATCATCAAACTTCAAGATGTAGGCTTGATTGCATCCTTCATAGAGTCTCTCCCCTAATGTGTCGATGATGTAGTACGCATCGGATTCGACCTTGAGAATAAAGAAATGGTCGTTCCAACTGACAATATAAACTCGCGGTTCACTATCGTCTGAACATTCCGACCCAGTACGGCTAATCTCATCCCATATGTTATCAAAGGACATGGCACCGTGCAAAAATTCAAACCTCGCCTCATTTACGCCTTCTGGATGGAAAAAACCAATGAACGACTTCCTTGGAACCACAGAAAGAGGTCGGATTTCAGCTTGGACGACAGTTTCGAGATCAAAATGCTTGTCTGGGAATTTTTCGCGATATATTTCATTTTCGCAGAGTTTCCTCCACTCGAACGAGCCATCTCGAATCAAACTATCGAACTGAGATTTTATAGGCATGAGATTTTGGCTGTTGTGAAACCAATCAGCAATAACAGCTACTAGAGCAGTACAAGCACTTTCACCAGCTGCCCGCTCACTCCGTTGGTCGATAGAAGCAAAGAAGACCTGTGTTTGTAGCTTCAAATGTCCATCACGGCTCACGATTTCTTTCTGTTCCCAAGCGCCAATCGCAAAATTGTCGTCCCCAAATTCCGAAACCGATGATCGATTCGCAGTTGAATCCTCTTCGGTCTTTTGCCACTGCAATAACCAACTTAAACTTAGCAAAGAAATGTAGAAACGAAACGAATTATAGAATCGGTTGTATGAAATCACTTAGCCGTTAATTAATTAATAAGTAGTAGGTAGTAAGACGTCGGTACGGAGTTGCGTCAGCTTACCCCAAGACCAATAGATTCATCGGAGCTGAGCTGCCTTCGATCATGATCAATGTCATCACCACCTTCTTCGCCGTAAGCCTTCTTCAACAATGGCTCTCCTTTTACCTTAGGTGATCTAAAACTTAACTTTCTCTTCCTCCACGGAAGTAGGCCTCGTTTCGAACTTTGTGGCAAAGTTTGCTCAGATGCCGATGCATTTGAATCCTCCATGCTCGAACACCCGACATCTGATTTTCGATTACTATAGTAAACTAAATTTTCGTCATCACCGTTGATCTTCATATCAGAGTAATATGATCCTCCAGCATAATTTGCATAAGCCAGAGTGCCATAACTAAAGGACTTCCTAATGTTAGTATCCTCCTTCGCTTCATCGGTTTCCACTTCCTCAACGTCATCAAGCGAATCAGAGTCAAACGGGTAGCTCGACTCGCCATCCTCACTCTTAGTCGAGCACCTGCCCTCACTGCCTTCCTCTTCATGGCAAGCCTTTTTTGCCTTTCGGGTCGACACAAACTCCGTAAAAATCTTTACTTTCCTAAGGCCAGCTTTAAGAGCAGAGACCTCATCCTTTTCTGCTGGGACATTTTCTCCTGACCAAGGTGGAGATGAGGCTGCAGCCATTGATCTCTGTATAGGTTGTGATACAACTTGAGCCGTTCTTAGCTCCAATAAGTTCAGCGATATCTGCACGATTCAGTAAACATAAGAAAAAAGCACGTAATAAATCAATGGATCTTGAGGAAACGGGACGATACGAACCCAGAGAACGTGGCTAGCCTCGGATGCATTTGTAGATGGATTAAGGGGTATCTTCAATTCAAGCTCTTTTTGTTCAGCCACAGAAAGGTGTTCAGACAGGTTAAGAGCTGCTGAGCCAACAACATGAACTTTGTTTGTCGACCCTTGATTTAAGCCCTATGTAGAAAGGGAAACAAAATCAAAGATGATTCGGGTTAACTATCGACCATTACTGATAAGCTCATCCATATAAATATGATATCAAGAACAAGAACAGAACATCAGCAATGTGTAGCCATACAATCTAAGAAGAGAGACAAATATGATCCACAAGATATCAGCAAATTTTCAGCATAGAACATTCAGAACAGAATTCAGAAGCTCACAAGAACAAAATTACAAAAATCAGCTCCCTTAATGAACTCAAAGGCCATTGTAAAGATTAGAGTTCAAAGCAGATGAGACCCAGATTCAAGAACTTGGAGAACATGGAGAATGAAACAAATCAAGAACAAGGGAACATGAATCCAGGCAAATCCAATTTCGAACAACAACAAAAAGTAGACAAAGATTCAATCGAAAACAGAACACGACAAAAAGATCCAAAATCAAACTCACATTGAAGGCAGAGAAAACGATCTCCCATGGATGAAACACATTCTCCTTATAAGCAGAGAAAGTACAAACGTTATGAAACTCTTCATCCCACTGAACGACGCCGTTCTGATCCACCCCATATGCTTCCTTCGTGTAATTTCTCTTCACAGCCGTTCTTCTCAATGGACTCAAAGCCATTTTCGGACCCTTCCATTTGATTTCTACTGTCAATTTGTCAACCCCCTTGTCCGCGACGCCGTCAAGCCCTTCGAGTTTCTTAACGACAAGCCTAACCTCGTACTTCCTTGAAACCAGCGGCGGCCATGGCCGCCACTTCATCATCTTCACAACCATCGGTTAACCCATGTGAAAAAAAAACGAAGAAATCAAAGGGGGGAAAAAGGGGGGTAGCAAAAAATGGGGGAAATTATCAGCGCCCAAGTGTTCCAAGATCTTCGAAGAACAGATAGCAAAATCCAGGTCGATTAAACGCAAATTGGGCAAAAGGGATTTGTGGGTTTGTGAAGTTATGAAGAAGAGGAAAAGAAATTTGAGAAAAGAGAGACGAAGAATATGCCGTTGGGTTTGGCTTTGAGATGAAAACTAGAGAGAGAAAGAGAGAGAGACAAAGGTAAGGAAGGGCACTGGAAGTCGTCTTATGGGGAAAAAGATAGAGAGACAGAGATATTGTTTCCATTTTTATTTATTTATTTATTTATTTATTTGTGGAAAATAAATTAACATTTTGACTGTCGGGGTTTTTGGAGTGAGGTGGTTATTTTATTTTCGTAAATTAAAACATTTAATCATAATAAAAAAAATTACCTAATTTTTTTATTTCCAAATTCATCCATTTAAATTATGATTTTTTTTTATTACGTATTCAAATTCAGTTAAGTTCAATTAATGCACATAAAACGATTGAATAAATGTTTCAAAATTCATATATTTTCGTCGATTTCTTTAAAACTAAATTTAGAATGCACACGACTCCGATATCATATTAGATGAACACGACTTTCCACAATGATATGATATTGTTTATTTTGAACATAAACTTTTATGACCTCCAATATGTCTCTTACCAATAGAGAGAGTATTATTTGATTATAAACCCATGAATTTTCTCAAAATTAGTCCATGTGAAACTTTTATCATCCAACACTGTCAAGTACTTAATTTTCGAATGGAAGGTACCAATCTAAAATATTATCTTTTAATTTAAAATATTAGTAACCAAAAAAAATTAGTATGGAAAGGTAAAAAAAAACCGAATTAAAAAATTAAAATTAAAATTAAAATTTTTTTCAAGAACTTTGACAATCGTGCCCCTTCACCATTTTTTTTAATGGCATAATATAAAGAGTTGTTAATTTTGTTGAAAAAAATAAAGGGGAAAACTGTAGCCATTGGATTCTAAAAGTCAGGCCTTTGAAGCTTAGCTTTCTAATGCTTAATTAATTAATTAATTAATTAATTAATTAATGTTTAATGACAGATTAATTTAGGTGGGTGTATTGTGTTCATGTCTTTTTTTCTCTCTCCACACCTCATTATTCTGCCTGTTACCACTGGTTCTGCTTTCTGAGTCAGCAATTGGTTAATAAATAAATTAAATAATTAAATCCTTGTTTGGCTGTTAATATATTTTTATTTATTGGGTAAGTAAGGAAAATTTGCGAAGTTTCGTGGGGTATAAGTGGAAATGTATTTACTGTACACGTGTGGGTTGTAAGGCAGCACGTGGGTGTTCGTTCAAAAGGAGTGGTTTGGAATCTGAGGAGACTTTTCAAAAGTGCTTTGGCTCTTCCTTCCCATGTGGGACAACTCTGCGCTCTATTGGCCATTTCGGATTATTTACAGGTTGGCATTTTCTCCCCTTTTTTTAGTGCCTTCAAAGTTGGGCAAGTAATAATTTTTATTTTACATCAAATGTCAAATTATCATGTTTTTTTTTTTTTAGATTCAAACAAAATTAATCGAGACCATTAGGATCGAATATGCAACTATCGAATTCTCACTTCGGTGTTCATCTAGCTTAAGAACGTGACCCGTGTTAGATGAAAGTGTTCCACATTAATTAATTTAGGAAGTGATCATGTGTTTATAATTAAATAATACATTTTTTTATTGGTGTTAAGGCCTTTTGAGGAAGTTCAAAGAAAGTGGACAATATGCTACCATTGTGGAGAGTCATGTTCGTCTAACAACCATAACTACCCAACCCTTAAAAATCTTGGGTAAGTGACTGTCTTCACCTTTTTTGTTTGTTGGGTCAACTATTTTAAGGTTTGTAACTGATGTTAATGATAAAATGCAAGATGTTTGATATTCTCGATTTATGAAATTTATAAAATAATTTAAAAAACAACTCGACAACCCAATTCAACCTTTTATTTTAACGAGTTACGTGTGTGGATTCTATTTGAGTTGTTTGGGTCACTAACCCAAAAATTCATATTAGTCTAAAAGGTTTTCTCCAACTCAACTCGTGTAGTGTGAATAATCGTATGCAAAATTTATTTACAATAAAAAAAAAAAACAAATTTTAAAGTTTTGATTTTTTTATAATCCTACATGATCGTTAATTTTGGTTTTAATTTTTGAAATTATGTAACATATGTATTGTTTCCTAGTTCAAATATAATATGTGGTTTGAAGAGTTTAAAAATCATTTCAATTTTATCATTTGTAGGGTCCATTTTATGGATAAAAGTAAAGCCATGCGATGCCCTTTGATTAACCGACCAAATCAGCTTACACGAATACCTTCTGTGTTATTGTTTGTAGACAATCAGTTTATATGTATATATATTAAAGTTTGAAAGAACATTAATAAATAATGTGAAAAATAAAAAAGGGAAATAGAGCGATAATAATCATTATTATTTGAAAAATAGACCACATTTTTATTCTCCATTCAAAATGGTCAAAAAGGCATGAAAGGCATTTGCATGACCATGATGTATGATGTGTCCATCCATCCAAACACATCATATTCAATCATTTAAATGGTTCCCATATTTCTTATTCTCCTCATGCCATTAAAGATACCTTCCCCCATCATTTTATTTTACTTTAATCAAGTCTATAAAATAATTAACTTTACCTAAATTTTACTTTATTATTATTATTATTTATTCGTGTGTAAAAAAATATGGTTATATTTTTTTTACATATATGAAAATTTTGATAAGAATTAATGACAAAGTTTTAAATGTTTAACCAAAAAAAAAAATTAAAATCAAAATCACATTAATAATTAATAAATTACAATCATATTCGTTTTAAACCTATTAATTAATATTTTTTAAAGTCAAGCCACTATTTTCTTGCCTAATATGGAAAATATATTTTTTAAAAAGTTATATTAAATTATAAAGATTATAATAAAAAAATGGTAACTTTTAAAAATTATTAAAAACTAAATTATAATTATGTAATGTAATCTTAAAATTAATTATTTTGACATATTATACGAAAAAACAAACAAACAAATTTGATGATTTGTCTCCCTATTTCTTGTTTGAAGGGATAATCCAAATTTTTTAAAATAAATAAATAATTAATTCCAAACATATCGGTTAAGGTCGGTTGTATTTATTTTCCTGATTTTAATGATAAATTAAAAAAAAATATTTTGTTCTTTTCTTTCTCTAGTACCCAATTTTTTTTATAACTAAAATGTAAAAAATTATTATTATTATTTATTTTTTCCTTTTCTAGTGGCGAACCGAGGGAGGAAAGAAAGAAGGCGTGAGAAGTGGGCCCCACGTAACGAACAAAAGGGACTCGTGGATAACGCTGGCCACGAGTTTTATAGAGTGGGAGTGTGGGGTCCACACGTCATCCAATTCAATGTATATAGTTCGGATGAGTCATACCAACCACTAGATGCCACGTTTTGCGTCTTTTTTAAATAACCCGGATTGGAACGGCCTAATCATTTTGCCACGTTGGATCATAGAAGTTGACTCATTCCTCACTCTTCCAACTCATCGCCACACATTATAAAGTTCCGTTATATGTGTCTTTTTTTTTAATTCATATTTTGAATTTTTATTACGGATTTAAAATTTTATTTTTTTTTATGAAATATTATACTTCTATTACAAATAAAAAAATTAAAGATTTTTTTTTAATAATTTTTATTTAGTTTCTAAATTTTAAAATATTATATTAGTTAAAGTTTTATAATATTACATTTTTATCGATGACTTTCAATTTAATTTTAATTTGGTCGTAACTATTATTATTATTATTATTATTTTATAAAATTTTAAAAAAACATTTAAAGAAAATGTTGTGGGGAGGCAAACTAGGGGACCAAAGGTAAAGGCCAGCTAATGACAGGGCATAGGCTAGAAGAGTTGTTTAAAGTTGGAGATCTTTTTTGTTTGTGGTCTTAATTCACTGTTTCCTTTTTTATTCTCCAATGTCAACCTTCCATTCTCCACGTGAATTTCCTTATTTATTATTATTATTTTTATTTTTAGGAATACAATTTAACTTTTGATATCCATTTGTGAGGTCCCGAAGAAAAATAAGCATCAAATGTAAAACTAAAACACACATTTTAAAACTGTGAGGCCTACTTCAATAAGTAACAGGGTATAACATAAAATATCTGCTAACGAGTACGCTAAAATAAGCAAATTTATTATTTGAAATCTTAAATTGGGTACGTAGGAATAGGAGAAAATTAGAATCTAATCCTTGTGATTTTAAATATTACAATTTAGTCCCTGTAGTTTGATAAGAAAATAGAGATTAATATCAAGATTTTTTAAACGTTCAATACCCATAACCTAATGTCAAGTTAGACATTTTAAAGTGGAATAAGAATAAGACGTTTCAGGTCTAAACTCGTGCAAACGTTCAAGTCTACGAGTAATGAAGTGGTAGGGAGAGAATAAACGGTTTTTGTACCAAATATTTTGGTGCTTGAAAGGGTTTGAAACCAAATAATATAATGGTGGGTGTGTGACAACCAAACTTTAATGTTTCGCTTTTGAAATATATTGAATATTTTGTGGTTCCTCAAATGGGTTAGAGAGGAATCCAAAGAATTAGGGTTGCCTCTTTTTTGCCCCATCCAAAACGTCGCCGTTTCTTCTCTTCAATTATTTCCAAGCTTGAACCAATATGGGAATGTACATGCACTAGAAAAAAGATTATTATAATTTTCAAAATCCACTTTTAGTTATAAAATATTTACACAATTCTCAACTTATTTTGAATATTTTCAAAATTAGAATTAATATTTTGTAGGTGGGATTTATTTTATATTTAAACATGACCTATCTTGATTTTCTTAAAATGTGAAATTATATATATATACATGAAAAGAAAAAGAAAAAGAAAAAAAAAAAAAACAAGAAAATTGGGCCACGAGAACAGGGCTCATAAATAAGCCCACGGGCCTCCAAATGAACCTTCGTGCGGCAAAGGCCCAAAACAGCCTGTGGGAGTGAATATGACTAAAAAATAGCTAAATTAAATATTATATTTTGATAAATGGGTAAAATAATTCTATAGTTTAAATATGCTTATTTGTGATTTTTTAAATTTGATATAATTTATTATTATTATTTTTTCTAGTAAAATAATTGTCGGTGACTCAATTAGGTAAACTTTAAGGTTAAAACGTGTTTGATGACCTCCTGAAACTTTTAAGGTTTGTTTGGCAGAATAGTTTTTATATCAAGTTAAGTAGGTAATGTAGTTATGTCTATTGACCCTATGAGGACCTACTCGTTTAAATGAGAATGTGGAAGAGAATAGAGAGAGTGGGGAGAGATTTTTATTCGTTGGCTAAATGAAGTGAATGACGAGATTATATTTTTCGTTTCCATCCCACCCCATGATCCTCACGAATTCTGTGTGTGTGGAATTTGAGGGGAGTGCTCGCGATATAGCGTTAGTTGCTAGTGTTTTTCTGGTAGAGAGTTATATTATTGATTTTGTAGGAATTTAGATGTAAAATCATAAATTGGAAAGGCCGTAAAGCCAAGAATCCATCTCATAATGTAAAAGCCTAAGGTTTCCTGAAAAGAATATAAACCACAAGCAGAAGAAGAGGGAGAGATGTGGCCCTTTGGTGGTGCCACCATTAAACGCAGCCTCCATGGCGAATCAAGACCTTCTACTGTGATCTAGAGTGAGCTGCTATTGCTTTATGTCCCGATTATCCGCCACCACCCGTTTCTCGCTCCTCTTCTTCTCCAACTTCAACCTCAACCTCAACCCCACCCGTTTTCTCTCTCTATTCAACCCTTCTCGCCTCTCTTTCTCCACTCTCCATCTCTGCAAGTCCCTCGCTCGCCTTCTTGCCTCCAAAACCCTAGCCCTTTTCACCATGGACGATCTCTTCCCCAATGACGATGATTTCTGGGACCTCGATGTGGGTTCCCGTTCCCGCCCCCCACAGCGCCCTCGCCTCCTCGATGACTATGATTATGACGATAATGATCCCGAAAAGGTCTACTTTGTTCCCTTCAGGTATTCTTGGGGTTTTCTTGTTGGTTTTGTCGTTTTACTTTGTGGTTATTGGAGTTCAATTGAATGGGGGAAATGGGTTTAGGATTTTGATGTTTTTGGATTTGGGGGAGGCGATTTAGTTGTTCGATTTTTGGCGGGTTTGGGAGTTTAGTTCTTTTGTGGGCATGTGGTTGGTTTGATTGTATGTTGGTGTTGTTTGGATTGCATGGGGGATGGATGGAACTTTCTCGGTTGAAATTCTTTCATTTCTTTCTTTTTTATCTGCATGTTGATTATATCTGTAGTATCACAATAACTAAGAAATATGTGGTTTGTTTGGTTTATGATTATGTGAATTGGTGTTTGTTGAGTAAGGAAGCGTTGGTTTTGCATCGGATTTCAGGTGGCTGCAGGAAACTCAAAATGATAGCGATCAAGTAGTAGGTGTTTTATATAGTGTGTCATCAGATGAAGATGATGATTCAGGAATTCTTTTGGAGCTGAGGAAACAAGAAGTTTACACAAAATATGATGGTGTTGAAGAGAGGTCTTCTGGTCGTGAATACGCCTTGATTGGGGAAGCTTTGTGGTTGCAGGCTCTAAAGCGGTGAGGCATGATTCTTTATCTATTTATTTATAACCACGGCCGAGAGATGTTGCATTGATCCTTCGGTTCTTTTCTTTCTTTTTTACTTTTAATCAGTTAATTATGGCATGCCCACGAGGAGGCCTTGTAGTAAGGCAACTCATCTTATACGAGAACATTTTAACACGATCTTTCTAAAAAAGTTGCATGTCCAGCAACAAAGTTTTATCTAGAATGTGGCCAGTTTTCTGCCTTTAATTTGGAGTGTTCATGTAGTGAGACATTACATTCCTTTTAATTTGGCTGGTTTTCGCAGTGGTGCATTGCAATGATATGTCTTGATTATTTGATAGGCATAGTGACGTTAAAACAACATCAAATTATGCTGGCCGACTCTTCAGAGATGAAGAAACGTTGCAGGATGTTTTTCCTTTGCAAATTAGGATCTTGGTATCATGGGAGACAAATTTGTTAGCTGTGAAGATAAATCGAAAGGTGATTTTTCTATCTGGCCCTGACAGTTATTGCTAATACTGAAAATTGGCCTACTTAGTCTGATTGCTATCCTTTTGCATCTAAGCTATCAATAACAGAATCATTGTCGAAAATATTTGGGATGTAATCTTTGTTAGAGAAGAAATGCTTCCATTAAAAAATAACAAATGAAGATAAGGTATCTTCCCAGAAGCCCCAAAGAGGTTATCAAAGGATCTCTAGCTAGTAAGTAACGAAGAAAGTAACGCCAGAAAGAGCCAGTGAACTTGCCCAGCTATTTGATTGCGTACAAAGACTCTCTTAGAAAATCCTACTATTCCTCTCTAACCATACTTTCCAATATAAAGAAAAATGTGGAGCCAAGTAAAGATACAAATTCTGGGATGGTTGGAAACGTTGGGTTCTACTTCGGCAAAGAATTCAAAGTATACAAAATTTCATTTATTTGCTCTTATATTCTGTAATTTGAACAATCTGGAGCTAATCTTCGTTGACTACATTCCAGAACCTCTTGTGATCTTTTCTTATGTATTCACTCCTCGCATTATGTTTTTCTTAGAATTTCTTGTTTACTACTTTTTTTCTTCTTATCTTTATATCATGCATCTGATAGAAAACTGTCGTTTCAGGATAACTTAGCCGACTATTATAAGAGAGCTTCCATTATTTTCAATTCTAGCTCTGAACCGGTAAGTTAGCTTACAATTAATATTGCAAGTTTTATTAAACTTGTTGTACCATGGTACTAATATTTATCCTGCTAATCTAATTGGCAGTTTCACATTTGGGACTTCTCAGGGCAAACAAATCAGCTTTTCGCAAATAATATGAACAATTTTCTTGATGATTCTCCTGTTCAACGAGTTAAAGAGGCAAGTATATCTGTATCTTATTAGCAATAGGAGCTGAATAGTTATTTCGTTCTTCTGTTGAGTTAATTGACAGATTCTGTGCAAAACCTTTCTACTAAATGAGCTTCTGGAAGTGGACTATGCATATGTAGATTTTTCTTTTCGTTCTTGTAAATTTTCATTGTATCGGTTTGATTTATTCAAGAAAATTTGTGTCATTGTTTTTTTGTTCTTGTAAATTTTCATTGTTTACAATTGATTTATTCAAAAAGATTTGTGTCATCCAAGATGATATTTGTGAATTTTGGGAAACTATTATTTTGGAGGATGCAGATCTTTTCGTTACAGCAGGTGAAGCCATTACTTTTAGATAATTGCATCTTTATCCTTTTGGTTTTCACCCTTTATTCTTATAGTTTAGATAAAACCCTGCTCCTACATGATTTAGATGCGGAAGTTTATGGTTATGTATTTAGGTTAAATGATTATTCATGGTGGGCCCCTGTTGCGTTCAAGATCTCATCAGAGATATCGATGGACTTGTGTCCTTAGAAAAATTTAAAGTGTGTTGATTCAATGATACTTTGAGGAGGGAGCAAAATTTGTTCGGTGATGCAATCTTGGAGTTAATTTTAGGAAAGTCAAGTTTTTCCTTTGGGAGCTAAGTCACTTAAGCCTAAGCACTCAGTGACAGGTATGGAAATGGCTTCCTTAGTTACTCTTCTTCCAAGGATGGTGTCCCCCTTTGCAAGAAGGATCAGAAACACTAGGCGGACATTTTCCTTAACTGTTCCTTGATTGCGGGCTTGGTTTTCCAGTCTTTTGTGATTTCAGATCATCAATGAAATTATTTCTTACAAGCAAGAAAGAATTTAAAAAGCATTGTCAAATGGATTTATTATCCACTCATCGAGGATAGTGTCGCTTCAACCCAATGGCATCTTCTATTCCATTCCTTGTGGATTACTAATTCCCACTGGAGTCTCTAGTTTCCTTGTTATGTAAATGTTTCTTGAAATCCTGTTGAGAAAAAGTTGTGATCTTTATAATTTTTGTATGATTTTGTGGGGCATTTGAGTTGAGAGGAACAATAGAATCTTGAGAGGGGTTGAGAGTCCTAAGGAGTATGTGTGGTCCCTTGTTAGGTTGCATATTTCTACCTATTTTTTTTTGGGCTTTTGTGCCTTTTTAATTGTTCTTTTAAGTCTTACTTTGCTTGATTGAAACCTCTTTTTGTTTTAGTTTGGTTCATTTTGGTTGGGCCATTATGTTTTATGCCCCTTGTATTCTTTCATTTATTCTCATGAAGAATTGGCTGTTCGTAAAAGACATTGTAAAATTCTCTACAGGATCCTGTTTGGTTTTTATATGCATAATGCATAGCCAATGTCCTTTTGCTTATCTAACAGGTCCGACTTGAGTTGCAAGTCCATGATGTTTTGGACAATATGATGGATAGATATGAGAAGGTTGCTAATCTAACTGAAGAGCTAAAGACTGAGGAGTCCCCCATTATCATAAATGGGATTATGGATAACGCGAAATCTTATTTGACTGAATCCAGCCCTATGATACGTGGAAACAGTTTCAGGGTAGCCAGTTCCATGGGTTTGACAGGATTACAGAATCTTGGGAATACTTGCTTCATGAATAGTGCTCTTCAGTGTTTGGTGCATACTCCAAAACTTGTTGATTATTTCCTTGGAAATTTTCAAAAGGAGATCAATTATGAAAACCCTTTGGGGATGAAAGTAAGTTATTATCTATAATGGCCTTATTAGGTCTTTTAAGATAGTCCTTCCTTTTCAATTAATTTGTAATGTCTTATCTAGGGAGAGCTTGCTTCAGCATTTGGAGACTTGCTCAGGAAACTATGGGCCCCTGGCTCAAAATCAGTGCCTCCAAGAATGTTTAAACTTAAACTTTCTAATTTTGCTCCCCAATTCAGTGGTTATAATCAGCATGATTCCCAGGTTTGTATAATCAGTCTTCATATTTGCACTCTTGATCTTCCTCTCTATCTGGTGTCATAACATGCTAAAAACATATGTGCAGGAATTTCTTGCCTTTTTGTTGGATGGCCTTCATGAAGATCTAAACCGCGTTAAATGCAAGCCATATTTTGAAGCTAAGGATGTAGATGGCCGCCGTGACGAAGAAGTAGCTGAAGAATGTTGGCAAAATCACATTGCCCGTAATGATTCTATTATAGTCGATTTGTGCCAGGTGAGTTGTTTTTTTTTTCTTTGCTTTGCCAGAATTTTTATAAAATTGTTGCACAAGGTTTTGCTCATTCTCTTCCTTCATCTTAGTTTTTCTGCTGCAAGCTTACATGGTCTCTTAAAGTTCACTTTTAGTTTAGTGATTAGAACAAGCGTTTCTCATCCGTTTCCCTGTTGCTGGGTAATTTCTTAGCTCTCAACTGGATTTATTCTTTTCTTCTTATAATTGTAGGGTCAGTTTCGGTCAACATTGGCGTGCCCTGCTTGCAATAAGTTATCAGTTACATTTGATCCATTCATGTACCTATCTCTGCCATTGCCCTCGACATCAGTGCGTAGTATGACCCTGAGGGTCTTTACATGTGATGGGATTACATTGCCTTCTACGTTTACCCTATCAGTGCCAAAGTCCGGAAGATTGAAAGATCTTATTGATGCCTTAAGCACTGCTTGTTCTTTGAGAGAGGATGAGACCCTGTTGGTAGCTGAGGTATGCTTATATATTGTGCCTGCTTACTTTTTTGGTGTACGAGCTGTTTTAGAGTCTTTATGGTTTGGCTTTTTTTTTCCATCTTCAGCCCGTGATTGCGCGCATGCACACTCACAAAAAATTCAATTATTAAAGAGCCACCAAAAAACAAGTCCAAAGGGGAGTGGACCACACTCCACAAATTGAATACTTGTAGATAATATAGAATAAATTTGTGTGCACAGATCAGTGGATCTTGGGTGGTGATTTTAATATGACAAGTCTCAAATAGCAAACCAATTATGGAAAGTATGAAGCTTTTTGGCAAATTCGTTGAAGACGGTGCTCTGGTTCCACCCTCTCCAATGGAAAGTACACTCTGTCCAGCTTTCGTGAAAGGCCTGCCATGACCCTTGTATAGACCCGTTTCTAATCTCTGGCTCTTGTATTGATATCATTTGTGCTTTGGTAAAGCATTTTCCACGTATCACTTCTGATCATTGTCCGATCCACATAACTCTGGGACAACAAAGATGGGGACCTAGTTACTTCAAATGTGAGAACATGTGAATGGGACACCATTCCCTAGAGCCTTTGTTTGGTAATTGGTGGTTGAATAGCCAGCTTCTAGGGTGGCTGGGTCATGATTTCATATAGAAACTAAACCCTCGAGAGTGTTTTAAAGGATTGTAACGTGGCTACTTTCGGATGTATCAAGCTACTTTCGGAGCTTGTCAGGGTTGCCAATTTGGATGCAGGCATAAATCTCAACTTTGGTCAAAGGTGATCTGAGATCAAAACAAATGTTTCGGATATCTCTTCCAGTGAAGAAGCATCACGCAGACAAAAGTGCAAATTGAGATGGACACTAGAGGGAGTTGAAAGCTACAAATTTTTTTTCTTAGAATCATACCCCAAAGAAGAAGAAAGAACAGCTTTGTTGAGATCTTATCTAGAGATGACAATAGTCTGGTTTTGGATAGTGACATAAAGGCTGAATCCATTGATATTTACAGCAAATTATACACCAAGGCTCAAGGCAGTAGACTTCAGGCGATCATTGAAAATTAGGATCCAATCTCAAAATCCCAATCCCTTGACCTTGATGCCCCTTTTACCAAAAAAAGGGATTAGGATGCACTAAAGGACCTGGGGACCAACAAATCTCCTGAACCAGATAGCTATACCACTGAATTCTAAAAACGCATTGGNGAGAAAAGTATTCATGTACGTGAAGTTGAGGATATTCATGTACGTGAAGTTGAGGAAAATTGTAATTGCTGTTTTTTCTTTGTTTTGCAGAAATTTTACTTGCTCCTATTGTCATGTTGAGCAGGTACTTTATACCATGTCATATTTACTCAGAATTGTCGTGTGATTCTCCATCCCTGCTTCAATCCAGAAACTTGCATTCCCATAGTCTTGCCATTTTTTTTTTTTTTTTTTTTTTTTTTGAGAATTCCATCATCAACCCAAGCCTTAATGAAACTTTTATTTGCCTCATCCCCAAGAAGAGGAACGCCAAATCCTTGGGAGATTATAGACCCATCAGCCTTACTGTACTATTCTCTTCATCAGAAAAAGAAAAGGTCTCTGCTCTTTTCTATACCATTCGTGCACCCTTTGTAGAAATAAACCATCAATAAAGAAGATACTTTGCTCAAAAGAAAAGATCAGATTTTCCTTTGGGAATTAAACCATCAATAAAGAAGATACTTTGCTCAAAAAGGCTCCTGGATTATCTCCTCTCCAAATTGGTGCACCCTTTGTAGAAATAGTCGTGAATCTATGATGCGTTTATTTATTACTTCCCACTATGCCTTTATTTTTTGGGAGAAAGTCCTGAAGGCTTTCCATTTGCATCTCACCCTCCCAGGAAACATTAAGATTTCATTGGTCAAATGAAAGAAGTGGAGATGCACTACGTTGATTCTACTTCGACAACTTATGCTAGAAGCCATACTGCTATGAAAAACCCCCAGAAATTTGTCCCAAATATTTGTAATAAAGTTACATCTACGTAAAATATAACCCAAGTTTATCCTCGAAGGCATAGATCCAACGTTCATCCTAGAACAAAATTTGTCATCTTAAGCCCCCCAAAGCTACAAACCAAGAGAAAAAAATCTAATGTTTTTTGGAAAAAACAAATAGTTGCAAGAGATTAAAACCTGAAAGTTTGAGAGTCCTAAAGTGATTGTCACTGAAGGTTGGGAAGAGATGAATTCTGTGTTACAAGATCGATGCAGATAATTTTGAGGTTTCTAGATTGATTTTTTATTTATGTTGAGTTACATCTTAAAGTACCTTTATTGTCTTCCAGATTGAACTTTGAATTGATGTATGTATCTCATATCACGTAACCGACACGTAAACTGATATTTTATTATATCGTTACTTATTAGTGTGTTAATGTTCTGCAACGTCATCAATCTGGTTTATAGTTCTAATTTGAATGAGCAGGTATACAAGAATCGTATCTTCCGTCTTCTGGAGGATCCATCTGATTCGCTAGCATTGATTAGGAACGAAGACAAGCTTGTTGCTTACAGGTTACCAAGAGATAGTGAACCATCCAAGTTGATTGTTTACGTGCATCAACAGTCTGAAACGTAAGCTCCTTTTCATTTTAGTATGTATTTCCTGTCATTGTCTTCTAGTTTTGTTTCTTCTTGAAGCAATCTTCATTTGAATTGCTTAAATATTTTTCAATGCTGCAAGCTTTCCACATCTTAAAACTGCTTAACCCCCTTCTTCATCTCTCTCCTTCATTAATTTTATGCATGGTGTCAGGCATGATAATTCAGGAAAGCTAATTTTAGGCTCAAAAACATTTGGAGTCCCATTTGTAGCAAGAGTGCCTGACTTTTGTCGTGAATCAGATATTCGTCAGCAGTTCCTCAAGTTTCTTGATCCGTTAAAAATGCCTGAAGACAATACGCTTAGGAACTGTGATGGCGAAGCTGGTATTTCTGGTAATGATGACTTTGAGATGGATGATGCCTCGGGCCCGAAAAACTTGGATACTGATGAGATACCAAACAATGGAAATATTGTGAACTCAAGTTTGCCTTCTGATTTCGTATTCTATTTGGCTGAATCACGGGGAGCTTCTGAAGGTACCCTGATTAATCCGGATGAACCTTTAGTTATCTCTGAGTTCACTGAGAGGTTGGATGTTCTTGTCATGTGGCCAGACACGATGATTAATAAATATGATACATGTCTAATGAGTTCACTGCCCGATGTTTTCAAACCACATTTTCTTGCAAGGACACCTCAAGAGTTTGTCGATTTGTATAAGTGCCTTGAAGCTTTCTTGAAGGAGGAGCCTTTAGGACCCGACGATATGTGGTTAGTGTGTGCTCTCATATTCAATTTTGGAAAACTCTTTTCTTTTCTATTTTCTTTTTATGCTCGTTAGGATTCGTACCTGCTTCCAAAGCTAGTTAATTACATTTCTCTTGGGACGATATTTAGGTTCTTTTGATTACAGACTTGCTTGCATAGCTTTCGTGAGTTCAAGTTCTATAATAGAAAACACGATGAACTCGAGATTTTTTCTTGTGAATTTGAAGGTATTGTCCTAGATGCAAGAAGCCTCAGCAAGCAAGAAAAAAGTTGGATCTCTGGAGGTTGCCTGAGATTCTTGTCATTCATCTCAAAAGGTTTTCGTATAGCCGATTTTTGAAGAACAAGCTGGAAACAGTTGTTGATTTCCCAATAGAAGACCTGGATTTTTCAAATTACATAGCTTTCAAGAATAGCCATCTGAGCAATCGTTACATGTTATATGCTGTTAGTAATCACTACGGAGGGATGGGCGCAGGTCACTATACTGCTCATGTTCTTGTAAGTTTTTCAATTAACAAAAAACCTTGAATCTGATTTCTGTTGAGTACGATCTTGGAGACTATCTTTTCAAGTTCCTGGAAATCTGATCCTCATCCACATTGATTATTATTCTGCTTGTTCTACCAATGCAGCATGGTGGTAAATGGTATGAGTTTGACGACGATCGAGTTCTTCCTGTGAGCGAAGATGTTGTAAAGTCATCTGCTGCTTATGTTTTATTTTACAGAAGAATTCCAGAAGTATAATGTGGTGAAGTTTATACATGGTTTTGAAGGTTAGTGTGAGACAACACCCTACAGCCCCTCCCCCAATGAGTTTTTCTGGTTTACTTAACATCACTTCCTTGCAACTTTATTCTGTTTGGGAGACGAGAAAAGAAGAAAAAGAAAACTTGTGTACAGCCAGAAGAAAAGCACTTGGGGGGGGGG